CACACACACACAGAGAGAGAGAGAGAGAGAGAGAGAGAGAGAAAGAGAGAGTTCATGCCCAAAAGTCTCTCATGCGCATGTTGCAGACCCAAGGATATCACCAATGTGAGAAACAACTACAATGTAGCGGAAGACTGAAAATATACAGATCTGACTTATCAGACTCGAGATATGACACAGGCATCATCCATCATGCATCTGAGTGGATGCGAGGCAGCATCATACATGGAAGAATGCTGCCTGGTAGCACACACATGGCGAGATAAGCGCACTGATGAAGGATGGCGGGAGGGGAGAGGCGAAGGGGGAGGAAGAAGAAGAGTGGAACTCAAATGTATCTGCCGATGAATCGTAATTTCTCTGTCCATAGCCTTCGCACAAGTCTCAGTCCGAACTCTCTCTCTCTCTCTCTCTCTCTCTCTCTCTCTCTCTCTCTCTCTCTCTCTCTCTCTCTCACACACACACACACACACACACACACACACACACACACACATAGATGTAGATGTAGAAGATGGATATGGAGGGCCGAGGGGAGGATGCGAAGGAGGAGAAAAAGAACTCTCTTTTCGCTGCCTCTCAGCGCAACCTTATACTGACAGCGAAAGATGTGATCTTGAGCTGTCCCCTGATGTCTGCAGTTGACGAGGGCCTTGTGCCCAGCGATGGAGATGCAGTGAAGCGCCAACAGGTAACTCCCTCTAACCCAGCCTCTGCTATCCTCTACGCCGCTACTGCCTAGCGCTGATGGCCTACCTCTACTAACGCTTCTCCGGAAGCAGCATGTCGGAGTTTGTCTCCACAACATCGTGTCCAAATGCAGGCTGGCCCAGCTTACTCCTGAAGCAGCATGTTGACTTGTGTCTCCAAAATACTGTCTGTCAAAATTCTGGCTGGCCCAGCTATATATAGCGCTGGGCCTACTGGATCCTGCATCGGTCTGTATCCTGGGTCGTCCCATCGTCATGCCGATCGACGATCCAGGAGGCAGGCCCAACCCTGCCGATGTTGAAGGCCGAAGTAGAAACTTATAGCGCTTGGCCTACTGGATCCTGCATCGGTCTGTATCCTGGGTTGTCCCATCGTCATGCCGATCGACGATCCAGGAGGCAGGCCCAACCCNCTTATAGCGCTTGGCCTACTGGATCCTGCATCGGTCTGTATCCTGGGTTGTCCCATCGTCATGCCGATCGACGATCCAGGAGGCAGGCCCAACCCCGCCGATGTTGACGACCGAAGTAGAAACTTGCAGTCCTTTGATGCAGATGTGGCCACTTCCCCCAGCTCACCTACTTGAGGGAAGCCCTAAAGCCGCTTTGTGCCCTCCTTAGGTCCAGATTCCAGGTGTGAGTGGCTTTCACTGTCGCCTCTCCCAAATTTTGCTTCACGAAGTCCCTCCCAAGTGTCTCACTACCCCAGACTTGCACTCCAGCAGCCTGGCTGGGTCATACGTTGCCCCTACACATCCCACCCAGGTGGGGACTGCCCCACTTGCCGTCACTTGCCAGGGTTACCCAATTGCCCTCAACTCGTAAATTTAGGGTTGGGGCAACCAGACCCAGACACCTCTCCCCAGCAAGTAAGATCTGCTCTAATACCAATGTTGTAAACCCACTTGCTAATTCTGATGTGCAAATACACAAGGAAAGACAGTGCTGTCCAATTGCAAAAGAAATGAAAGAATTTAAAGGAGAAAGGGACAAAGGAAGAAGAAGAAAGAAGAAAAAAGAAGAAGAAGAAGAAAGAAAGAAAGAAGAAGAAGAAAGAAAGAAAGTACCTTGGCAGGCCACGCGCACACACTCAGGCAGGCATGCACTCAGACACGCAAACGGAAACCAGCGAGCACGCTCGCACACAGACTTAGAATCTCAGCAGAAAGTGGGAGTCTCAGCGCAGCACCCATTCCAGCAGCAAAACTCAGAAATCAGCAGTGTTCTCAGTCTTTGTTTTTGCAGGTCATTACAGCTGTGTCTATGATTCACGATTTCCATTCTTGTGAGTTATTTGGTAATTTCTGAATGCATTTGCATCAGGTCCTCTAGTGTCTGTTTGTTCCGTCAGTGCTGTGCTACAACAGAAGCGCACTAGAAAAATGATGACTAACCAATGTAATGCTGATTTGATGGAGAAGACGAAAAAGGTATTTTCTGTTTCATTTTGGTTTGGTGGGGGGTGGGGAGTGTTCTTTCTCAGAAACACTGGAGGGAGGTTTTGGTTGACACCGTGTACTTCTTTTTGCATGCTTGTTGCAGGAGACACACTTAACCAGGTTATTAACAGACTGCACCGAGACCTTTTGCCGACCCTCTGTGCCGGCCTGTTCTTCTGGCCAATATGTGATGCGATCATGTTTCGGTTCATCCCAGTGCATTTGCAGGTGCGCATCTCTCTCTCTCTCTCTCTCTCTCTCTCTCTCTCTCTCTCTCTCTCTCTCTCTCTCTCTCCCCGAGATGCACTCGCACACATAATTCACACGCTCAACTACTTGGACATGAGAAACCATGCACTCATATCATTTTTCCTTGTTTTATGGATGGATTTGGTAATGATGTTTGCTGTTTGTTTTTAACACACGACAGTGTCAGTCAAAGACGTCCTGCGTAGACTGTTGAGACGAGTCGGTGAAAGTCAACGAGACAGTCTGTCCCAGCTGTGCTTTTTTTGTCGAGTTGTGTTTAGCAAACATGAAACCATAGCTACTCGTCTCAGCCTCCTACTCAAATGCATCATGTGCCGACTGTTGAGGTTCGACTCTCCGATGAGCTGGTGAAAGTCACAGGTGTGTGTTTTCTGTGCAGTTGGGTTTAGCGAACATGAAAGCACACTCACGTTCTCTCCCCCCTAAGTCTCTCTTTCTGTCTGTACCCACTTGTGGAGAGACAAATGGGGGGAGGGAGAAGGTGGTAAGCAACACTCTTCTTCCCTTTGAAGAAATCTGTGTACGTTGCGAAATGTTATCGAGCCATGCTTAACAGCAACTCCGAGGAGTGCAAGCATGTTTGTGTGTGTGTTAAGGAGGAGGGAAGGAGAGGACTGAATCTCGAGGTGAAGTCGGTGGAAGCCGGAGGAAATGGTCTGTCGTATCCTCTGGCCTCTGGCACACATCGTTTCAAATGAAGATAACCGTGCAATGAACCCACCCTTGAGAAGGTCGCAGATTCTGTAGCATGCACAAAGCCCACTTCGCTCTCCCTTGGTAAGGGAAAGGTCTCCAGTCCAAGTCCGATAGCAGGCTCTGTAAGTTGCACAATGTACGCCATCGACATGATGTAGCAAGTAGAGCATTCCCTTGGTTTAGGCCGAGGTCTCCGATTCGAGTCCGGTTGCGCAATGAATGTCACCGACACTGACATGATGTGGCAAGAAGAGAATTCCCTTGGCAAGGCCGAGGTCTCCAATTCGAGTCTGGCTGTGGGCTGTGTAACTTGCGAGATGAATGTCACCGACATGAAGTAGCAAATATGCTTTCGAAAAAATAGACGAAGGTGGAGAAGAATAGGAGAGGTGGAGGAAAGCTTTCGATAACAATCAATGAATAGAAACTTCACTGGCCCCCCCTTCCACCCCCTCCTTCAACCTCCAGGCTTCTTCCTCTCTGCTCGCCGCCTTGGTGGTGCAAACCTAACCCTCTGTAGGTGATAATGTAGTAGATGTCGTTTGCAGTAGCAAGTCGCCAACATACAACTCGACCGTCCGGCGCTGTATCAAGTGGTGCTATGGAGGTCGAGGGAAAATCATACGGAAATGGAAATTCCGACGAAGAAGATGA